CAGTGTGTGTGTGTGTGTGGTGCACAGAGAAAGGAAAGGGAGAGATTCGCTTTCAAGTTTTGGTGTGGTGTGGTGTGGGGAACTTGTATTATTCAATGTTTGAGGGCTTCTTAAGGTCATCGTGTGCGTGGCAGACCAAACCGTGCTCCCAACTTCACTTTGTTCCTCTTACAATTTCTTATCATCTTCACATCATTGCTTACGTTTCTCAAAATTACAACAACACTTTATCTACTATATAGATATTAACTCAGATCAAAATCAGATCGCTCACTTTTCATACGACAATCAAAACTTCAAATTTTAACATTGAGTTACTTATACTACGTACTGAAGTAAATACTGTGAGAATCATATACGTAACTGTTGAATCGTCCATGATTAGGGAAATGGAAAAAAAGCTTGGTGTGTTGTGGATGTATTGTGCGTGTTACGATAAGTTGAACTCGCATGCCTCCAATGAAGGAGGAGGGTGTTGGGGTAAGAGGGTGCTTTGATGCTTGCCGTCGTTGACATTCTTTAATATCCACCTTCATATCTTTCTTCCCTGTTCATGCACTTCCTATTCAACAGTGAACATGTTCGTGTGTCGTGCCCTATGTAGCAAAATTCAAACATGTCCTCCTGTAACTATAAATCATGTACATGGAAAAAAAATATAAAAATATAAAACTGATTTCAACGTTTTTATGAGTCGGTTATATGCATGGGTTAAAAAATTATTTCACATCTATTATGTAGTTTTGGATGTAGAAATTATTTTTGTTTTATATAATTTATTGATGGGTCTTTAATAAAATATATTATACTCGTGAATCAAACTGACATAAAGATTTTATTTTATTTTCAATTCAAAATTTTAAACAATAATGTTATTTTTTTTTATATTAGATCTGAAACTATTTTTAACGTAAAAATTTTAGACAATAAATATATGAATATTATTTTATGTTATTGCCGTTGTCACGAATGTGTGTTATTATGTTGTTTTCAACAATCTTTTATAGGTAAATCCATTTCACACGGTATATTTCTTTTCAAACGTTATTATGTTGTTGTTTTTGTCCATTATCTTGAGCAATGAATTTGATTTTTTTTAATGGTGTTTGACTTTATTATTTTTATCTAACGTGAGATTTACATAGTTGAATTATTCTCTAGACATATATTAAAAACATATATATAAAAGTACCTTAAATTTAAGAACAAGAAGAGAGGTGTTGCAGGGGAATTAAAGATACTAGGGAAACAAAGATGGAGTATAAAACACCGTGATGGTGAAAAAAATGAAAGAGTTGGGAATTATGTGAATAGTTTGAAGGGGAAAAAGAACACAACATACGTAATTGAGAAACTACATGGTAATATAGCACCTGAAAATCATCATATATCCAATACATAAAACTGATGTACAAAGTTAATACTACTTTAGTTGCTTAAATAACCCATTTATACGACTTATATATATTATATAAGGTGTTTAAATAATCTATTTAGTATACAACTCATACATTTGCCACCTTTCAAACACCACTACCTGTATACCTGCTAAGATATTTCTTTATTTTTGCCTACTGTATGACCTCGGTATGTCGGTTGTAAACCACAATAAAACATCTAACCCATAAAAAAAAAACTACTAGTGACATATACATGTGAATTAATAAGAAATTAATTTTGGAAATTAATATGAATTGAGAAGAAGTTGGATGAATATTCCGTAAAGAAAGAATATATATCCAAGTGGGTGAAAAGAGTTTTCCATGTAAGATTTTGTGGCAGGTGAATCTAAAATGCATGTTTATGAAGATCCGGTATCAAAACACTATAATATAAGCAGTGAAAGTCACGTATGTGGATTTCATTTCGTCGTTGATTAAAGTTTGATTATGTTTCAGAGTTGCTTCTTCCTCTGCAGACATGTTATTGGTTGGATCAAAAGGTCTATTATAACGCAATCTTTATTCTCCCACAAACGTCAACTCCAACTTCACAACTTGCTCTACTTACATAATACACACACCTTTATTCTCCCAAACAAACAACAAAATATCCCGCTTAAATCTTCCAAAAATTATCATCAACTTTCTTTCTTTCTCCTTTTTAATTTAACAACCTTCCATTTTTTTTTTAATTTCAAAAATGGCAGCAAAGTTTAGTTTGTGGAAAAACAAACATTTTGCGATGTTTTTATCAAAAACTTTAAGCTTATTAACTTTACTAATTATTTTGTTTAGTCATAATAAGTAGTGAAGATTCAAGTTTTCAATTCAATGTTCCCCGTTTTGTTTGCCTTTTTTTGTCTTCCATTCATATTTGTCTACGCAAATATTTTAGTCTTATTCACAAGCGTTTTTAAGACATTAATTATTCATTAAGAAGTCTACAAATTATAAATTTTTTTATTAAACCTATAATGAAGATCCTAAAATATTGTGTTTAAAAAACATTAATTCTTGGATAACATTTACTAATATTTTTTTTTCATGAAAAAAATTGATATAATCGTCTACCATATATTTTCATCCTTCCGTTTTTTTTTTCTATTTCATTCCAATACCCTTTTGCATATTAATTTTAAAATTTGATATTTTGTATTTTTTTAATTAAAAGTATTTTTTTAAATAGTGCAAATCAGGGAAAATTCAATATTTCAAAACAATGTTTCCCATTTTGTGATTCTTTTTCTTTGTCTCCCACTCAAATTTGTTGGACAGAAATATATTTTTTGGAGTCTTATTAACAAGTATCTTATAGACACTAATTAACAAGTCATTGAATAAAAATAGTAAATTTCTACACTAAAATGCAGTTTTTGTTCAGATGATATATATCTCGATGTGAAAGACAAATATAATTAAGGAAAATAACTATTAAAAACTATAAAGCTCTTTCTATACAATTTGACACGGTTTTATATTCAATGGTAAAGTTTAAACCACTTGTTAAATTGAAACAAATTCACGTAACCAACCACTGATTATCTTCATCATGCCGAACAATTTCAAAATAAACAGTTTTGTATTTATAAATTTTGTTAATCACGTGTCATATGTAAATTTATTCATGATATGCCATGAATCAATTTTTGTCAACAATTGGTTTTATTTTTTATTTTCAAAAATATTAAAAAGCTATCTTATCAACAAAAAGTTATTATAAATTTAAAATATTTGGAAATTTTCGATCTAAAAAAAGTAACAAATAAGAAAATTTATTAATTTGAATATCAGTGTATTAAAATATTTAGAATGGTAAAATGCCACAATCAATAGATTAATTTCTTCATTCATATCTTCGTGATAATTAAAATCATTTTCAATACGGTTTATATATAAATCTATACGTTTATTTCCAGAATAAAATTGTAAAGATGAAGAAAAAGAAGAAGATAAATGTGAGATAAAATATTAAATAAATAGAGTAAAATATGTATATATCTTTAATTAAATGAGAAATTTAAATAGAGAGTAAAATGAAACAAAAGGGGAGATTAATTTATACTAAAAATATACTAATTCATTTTGCATACCTTTTTTAAAGTATCACGTCGATTTAAGGTCATCATATGGCGGTAAAAATTTATAAGCCATGGATATGGGGTTGAAAAATAATGAATATTTTGTTGGAATTTGGAATACTTGGGCCTTTTGCATTGCAGCTTTCATTGGTAAAGTAATAAAAAAAAAAGCAGAGAAAGCGTATGCATGGTGACAATATGAACACTTATGAGCACTGTGAATGGCAGCAGAGTTGTTCGAAACGCGATATCACACTTGCTTCTTCTGGTCACCTTGGATTTAAAACGAAGATATATAGAGAACTCGATGGAGTCTTGGCTTTGCTTTTCAGGCTCTGGTTCACTGAAATTTAATGAACAAAGACAACAATGGCAATGTGTAATTGATTGCAGAGGTCGGATATTAAGGTTTGTGGCATCCGAGAAGGAAGGGATGGATGAAGTAGGGTCGGAGAATCGGAGGCAGGCATGCATGCATATAGATTGCTGAAAGCTTGGGATGATGGTAACTGTTAAGGTTGGCTTCACACTCACACAATTGAAAAGTAAAAAAGGTTTTATTTTCCCTTTTGGGAGAACTCTCAGAATCTTTGTTTTCTTTCATTTTGAACATTGTACACCAATCTGCTTCATCATGGTAAAGACTAAACACTCAGTTCCTTGGTTTCAGTAGTGGAATAAGATTGGGTCATACATTTATAAGTAGAAAATATTTAGTACATACTAGGTAATCATACTTCCATACTTTATTCATATATTTTATTTATTTCTTCTCTTTCTGTATCTTCAAACTATACACACTCAATTGACCCTTTTTCAATTAAACATTTTTAACATTCTTCTTTTCTTTCTCAAATATGTATTTCACATTTGATCATTATTTTTATATTTGATATTTTTAAATATTTTTTGAAAAAAATATTACCTCTCAAATTTAAAAAAAAATCACCGGAAGAGAAAATTTTGAGTTATTATTATATAGTTAATATTCTTACGTTGCATTTCTTTAATCATGGATTTTTTTCATCTCCCTTTAACTCATAAAAAAACAAAGAGTGTACGTTCATTCTTTATGAAAAGATTTTCGTATCATTTCCTAATATTTCACTCCAACTCCAGTGACCCCTGGCCTCTTTTGCTCACGGGAATGCTATTCTTTTTTACTTCAGCACTAAATAAAAGTAAATTGCAGTTTGTATTTATTTATTTATTTTGGGTTTATTAAATAGATCCCAGTATGCTATTAGAGAAAAACAGAACATAGAAAAAGAAATTGAAGTTAATTTTTGTGTATAAAAAAGTTGATTTAAGTTGATATTTGTATTTGAGAAGAAAGTTATATATGTAAAATTTGTGTGGGCATCTGAAGAAATGCTACTTTCCATGCATATTTAAAAGGCACAGAGGCTCTTCTGCCACACTCTCTGACGCACTTCATTGACCATTCCCACTATACGCTACCCCTCTTTAAATTCTCACGATTTCCATCGTATTCTCCAAGGAGAGGAGTTGAAACATTCAACGTACACAAACTCACATATACCAAAAAGGAAAAGCAGACCAGAGAGGGTTTTCCCTTCCAAGTTTCTTGCGATTTTCTTGGATGGAGTCTTGCAAGGGACCAGAGGGAGAGGAAGTGAAGTGCGTGTGGGTTCATGGTCCTATAATCGTAGGGGCAGGACCCTCGGGGCTGGCCGTTGCAGCATGCCTCTCCCACCACGGACTACCCTACGTCATTCTCGAGAGGAGTCACTGCATAAACTCCCTTTGGCAACACAGAACCTACGACCGTCTCAAACTCCACCTCCCCAAACACTTCTGCCAACTCCCCTTCATGCCCTTCCCTCACCATTTCCCCAAATACCCCTCCAAGAACCAGTTCATCTCCTACCTCCATTCCTACGCTCACCGCTTCAACATCCGCCCCAGGTTCAACCAGTCCGTTCACTCCGCTCACTTCGACCCCGTTTCCCAGTTCTGGGTCGTCAGAACCAACGATTTTCAGTACATTTCCCCGTGGCTCGTCGTTGCTACCGGAGAGAATGCCGACCCTGTCATTCCCTCGATTCTTGGCATGGACTCCTTTCACGGACCCGTTGTTCACACCAGCGCCTATAAATCCGGTTCTCATTACAAAAACAAGAGGGTTTTGGTAATCGGTTGCGGCAACTCAGGAATGGAAGTAAGCTTGGATCTTTGCAGGCACAACGCCACCCCTTACATGGTCGCCAGAAACACAGTCAGTAACTCACTATATTCACTTCCCCTTCTTTCCCTATTCCCATGCACTAATAAGAACACATTTTGTCTTTTTCTTTTTGATGTTCTTTATTATACGAATTCGTGCTCCACTGTGTCATGGTTGTTATCATAAAACTCTGTTGATTATTATTGATTTTTAATGCTAATAATCCCTTATAAAATAATAGAGAAAAACCTGCATATTTGGACATATTATCATCGAGACACAGTTTGTTGACAAGATTTCATGGTACAGGTACATGTGCTGCCTAGGGAGATGTTTGGCTTTTCTACGTTTGGAATGGCGATGGGTCTATTGAAATGGCTTCCGATAAAGTTGGTAGACAAGGTGGTATTGGCGTTGGCTGGGTTAATGTTAGGTGACACCGCCCGCTACGGCGTTAGGAGGCCAAAAACTGGGCCAATAGAGCTCAAACTTGTCACCGGTAAAACCCCTGTGCTAGATGTTGGACAAGTAGCGCAGATAAGATCCGGTAACATCAAGGTACGTAGCCATGCTTTGTTTCCTGATTCATGAGTATGTAATTATGGCATAACATTGTAATCCAATCTTACCATATATGGAATCTTTTTCTAAGTTAGGTTAGGGTTTGTTTCAGGTGATGGAAGGGGTGAAGGAGATAACAAGAAACGGTGCCAAGTTTATGGATGGACAAGAAAAGGAGTTCAGTGCCATAATATTAGCAACGGGTTACAAAAGCAACGTGCCCACTTGGCTTAAGGTAAGAAGAAACTAAAAACTTCATTTTTACCTCAATCTTCTTGAACCTCATTTTTGTACTAGCTCTTCCCTTGTTTTTTTCTTTCTATTTTCACGATGTGAAAAACCCACAACACAACTTTTATTTAGTCAGTTGGGACATGCACAGCAGATACCAACAGAAGGATTTATTTTCTTCATGCAACTATGAAGGAAAGAGCATAAAATGATTTTGGGGTTTGTGCCAAACAAATATGAAACTTTTCATTCCAGTGACGTTTCATGTGTACCGATAATCAAACGTCGTGTTAGTTCTTCTATACTTACACCTAAAAAAAGTGTCCCTTTTGTTCCTTTCCGTCCTTCGAGATGGACAACACTTCCTAGCAGAAAAAAACAGTCGCAATCTGCTTTGTTCCATCTCCTTTACAATTCCAAAAACCAAATAGTATGTTTGTTTTTTACACTCTAGTTGTTTAATTCAATATATGATAATGCAGAGCCGTGAATCTTTCACGAAAGACGGAATGCCGAAAATGCCGTTTCCAATGGGTTGGAAGGGAGAGAATGGATTGTATACGGTTGGGTTCACGAGAAGAGGTCTTCTTGGAAGTGCATCGGACGCCGTAAAGATTGCCGAAGACATAGCTGATCAATGGATGAGCGTTAAGGACAAATCACGCCGTAATTCCCTTATGATCTTGCTCAAGAGTACATAGGATCACGTGGCTAATCTTGTAATTGTTCTGGATTTTTTTTTATTTTTTATTTATTTTTTCATGTATGTACAATTTTGTATTTCCAGCATTCTTGTGTCTAAACTTTTTTTTCACTCAGCCTTCGTTTCAAACAGTTCCGTAAATGAAATGCAAGCTTATGTCTATGTCTCTATTTTCTTTGACACTTTATTTTAAGTTACATAACTCGATGATGAAGAAAAGACAAAAAACAGGGTCACTTAGTTCAACGCAGGCTTGATTGAAGGATGAATTTTTGCAGAATAAATATAATTTTGATGGTGGAAGCAGGATGAGTGGGTGAGTTGGCGAGTTAATTATTGTGGCATAATTAACACGTTCTCTCTCCCGTATTTATTATGGTTAATAGAGTAGTAGTAGTAACAGTAGCTACGTACTTCCTACTCACTCTCACATCACACTACAAACAAATACACAACTTGGGTGCCAGCTCCAGACTGCAATATTCTGCTTTTCATCCATTTACTCACATTTGCAAAAGCATGATTCCGTCATGCCGTTGGAATCTAATACAAAATATTATAAATTCTATAAAGTTCACAAATAACTAAGCATTCTTCCATTGAACTTGTAATAGATGTTGACGAGTTGAAGTTGAGAATTGGATAGAAATTCATCAAAATATGATCAAAGAGGTCCACAAAAGTTAAGAGATGAATAAATCATTTAAATTTTTTTTATAAAGAAACTACAAAATTACAATTTTATAAAATTAATATGATGAAAACTAAATAAAAGGTGAAAGTAAAATATAACAGTCACATAGAATTAAGAGACACCTCACTTAAAAATATTATGTTAAAAGTCACCTCACTTGTAAAAATTTAACTAGAGTGATACAATTAAAAAGTTTTAATTTTTTTAGGACTATAAAACACAAAAGTTTAATAAATACTCAATTTTAAATTTTCAAATTTATTAGAGAATTAAAAATTAATTAAACCATTCAAATTTAAATAATTTATAAATTTATATACTTCTAATTATTTATAAATTTATATTCAAATTGATGGTAATATTTAATTTTTATTTTATTTTTTAATTGATTTATTGATGTTTAATTTTTTATTAATTAAGTGATATGGTTATTCTTTTATAATTGAATGATGAGGTTATCTTTATATATTATCTTATTTGTTTGTTTTTATGTATTAAAAAATGTGAAATCTTATAGTTAATACAAAATATTTTATTATTAATATAAATTGATAAATAATTTTTATTATCTTTGTTAAAAAATATGTTGTACAAAAAAAACTGTTAGTGTTACTTACATCAATCATAATAAAAATAGTGACAGTTAAAATAAGTGATGACAAGAAAATTAGGGAGACCACAACACTTATGTTATCTAAAATATTTTCAACTAAAATAATAAATATTATATCTGATATTTTATATCAAATGTAATATCATTTTGTATTAATAAAAAAATAACAAGACAAGTTAAAAGCCATATAAACAATTAACAGAAAAATCAAACCATAAAAATTCAATAAAAAAATATAAAAAATTGAATACTTAATAAACTAAGCACATTTAGTAATTAAAAATACTAAAGAGAAACTTGAACCTTAATTAATTATTTTCAGTTTTTACAAAAAAGCCCACTCGTTTACGTTTCCGTTTCCTTTTAATTATGCATATCCTTGCTCGCGTGTTACCCTTTTCTTTGCTTTATTTACGCAATGGATTCTTCACAAGGAAAAAGACTTGTACAGGAACCACGTTTTGTGCGCATCATTTTGAATACTATTAACACACTTGATTTTACAAGTTTTTATGTAGCAAATATTCTTATTCATGCCATTAATAATCTATATTAAAAAAACGAAATTAAATTAAATTTTATAAATTTGATTTAATAAAAAATGTTATATTAAAATAGTAAATTTAAGTTTAGTTATAAGATATGTAATTATATATCTCCTAAAACATGTTGAGCCATCCACTCTCCTAAAAGAAGACAAACATGTTGAGCCACCAATAACAAAACGATATAAAACATCAGTGAAGAAAACCGTGTTCTAGCATCAGTTTGTAAAAAAAAATTATATATGTTATATATGAAAGTCTGATAAATTATTTAATATGTATTTGATGAAATCGTTTTTCTTTAATCTTACTTTAATAAGTTTCGCGTATTAGTTTTTTTTATGCCATTTACATTTTATTATCTTACTTTTCAAAAAAACAATAGAAAATATTAATGTCAAAATTTGTTTATAATCATGGTTTTTGAGTTATTTTTTTCTTGTTGTTTCTTTTGTATCTATTTGATGTTATACTTGTTCATTATTGTTTTAATGATTATAAATAAATTACAACGCTCATCACTTTCCTTCTTTTATTTAAAATTATCATATCGACTATAACTAAAACAAAAATTATGAACAAAAAATATAGTTTCGAAATATAAATAGAAAAGAAAATTTTATGAACACATATTTCTAAAATATTATTTGTAATAAATAAAACAAAATAGAAAAATTAGATATGATTCTATTCAGAACACACTAAGAAATGCTAATGTTGACAAACTTACATTTAACATTTTCAGGGATTTTAACATTGGTAAGTGTGTTATCCACAGTTTATGAAATCTAGTTGCTTCTAGTGCTATTAAATCCTAATCATACCAACATTCAGGTTTCTGTGTTTTTTGTGGGGGTTTCAATACCCCATTATAACTTTGTTGCATTTTTTTTAAAAATATATGTAAATTCTGAAATAAATGAAAAATTATAAAAACTAAAAATTTTAGTATTTATAATTTGCATGTAACGTTCATAAAAAAAACAAATAATAAGATCTACAATTTTAATATCAAATAATATATAACTGAATCTAAACTTATACTAAAGTATATAACGTAAATTGAAATTCAAATTAAAGTACAAAATGAGTTAAAGAAAAACTAATTAAGAGGAAGGAACGCAAACAGAATCTTGCTGTGAAATAGTCCAACTGAAAACAACGTATGGTTCACATAGTAAAAATATGTGAAAAAATCATTTTCACGTTATATTATATTCTTTAACTATCACATGTAAACAATATTGTGTCATTTATCAAAAATAAAATTAAATATATAATTTTATTTAAAATTTTGATTTTATTAAATTATAAGAAAATGGTATTTATCTTTAAAAGAATCAAGATGTAAGTTTGATTTGATTTAATTTATTCTTAAGAAGGTAAATAATGAAAATGAAGATCCTAAAGTACTTCCCTTCCAAAAGAGATTATACTTTCTCTAAGTCACTTCACTCCCAGTAAAAATAGTTCCAAATCAACTAAAATTCGGATAATGATATTTGACAATGGTGACATTGACAAAACCAGATCCCATTAATATACCAGTATGCAGAGTGTCTACAGAGATGGGGTATACGTGTCCTCACATATATATATATATATAATATTTATTTTAGAATAAATTTGAGTAGGTTGTAGGTAGCTTAGTGTAGTGTAGCAGTGGTTGGAGATTGATGAAAGTAGTTGCAGGCATATGTTAGCAAAGCATAGGTTGGCATGACATGGCATGCAGAGGTAAGGTAGTACTGATGAAATCAGGTCTGAATCGAGGCCAAAACTGATGCTGTGGACGCAAACCAAAGCCATGCCAATTTTCATTCATCTATCTATTCCCATGCAAACATACACACAAATTCTCTCTTCCTCTGCATGTAACGGGGCCCACGTGTACATACACCTAACACACCCTTTTCAATATTCTGTCAGTTTATACTGTTTTGTAATAATACATCTTTTTGTTCTTCACTCCCAGTGTGCATACATGCCAAACCCACCACTGTTGCATTCTGTTTTCGGCAGTGATGACCTGATCATCATACACCATATGAGGTCATACTTAATCCAGGGGTCCCCTACCTACCTCACTCCATGTATATATATATATATATATCAAGAGAATTACTTCTCTATGATTCAGATTCTGTGGGGTCACTTTATCTCAGAAGCATGTTGTTTTTGTTGCAGTAGCTTATTGGGTAAAGCAGGTTTACAGCAAAGAGAGAGACGTTTCACAATGCCCACCCTTTTGTTGCTTCCATCTCTAGCTCACTCACACATCTCTGTCTCTGCCAAAGTACTTACAGAGAACGCTTCACGAATGCAACTCACGTTTACGACAAAGAGTGTTTTTTTATAGCTCTTTTGTCCATTTTTCTAATGTGTGACATGCACCTACAAGATTGCCTTCAAGGCCTTCTTGCAAACCAAATATGAAAACATTCATTAATTCAGCATACGCAGGCCATGTTTCATCGTCAGATCCTCAACATGATCTTCATACTATATCAATGTCACATATAACCTCCAAAAATGTAGATAGCAAAACATTTTTCTCAATACATGCGAAATAACGTATAGTTTGGAATCCCACACCGCACAAAAGTAAGAAAATTTGGGTTTATGTCTTTTATATAAATTTATTCACAAATTGGGTGGTTTGAAAAAAATTTCCCTTGTAACTTACAAAGACTAACATTGCATAAAACTTCTAGGAAAATATCTTAAAGAACAATTTTTTTTCCTATGATTGGTCTCAAATGTATAAACTAATAAAATAAGGACACTGTTATAAAAAAATTATTAAAAAAATTGTTAAAATATCATTATCCAAACTTTTATATTGTGTGCTACATGGAGCATATGTAAAGGTATATTATTGTTTTTAAAATTTTCAACCATAAAACCATTAAAAGAGTTGTGCTGATTAATCTATCTTGGTTTTTTTATCTTTTGATAAATTTATAGTTATTTGAATAATATGAAAAGGATGTATAATTTGAATAATGTATTTTGTGGACCATTGTTTTCTCTTATATAATAAATTAGAATACATGTTAGGAGAGATTTAATAGTTTTGTATTATTTTCTTTTTAATACATATTTTATATATCGGTTTCATAATAGTTAAATGTTTCTGTTAGTATTTTTTTTATCTCAAAATTAAATTTTAATGTTTTTAAAATATCCATAATTAAATATAACTTTATGTTATAATTATAAAAATATTTATCTTGTACAGATGTTAAAGTAGTAAATTTTTTTAAATAATTAGAAAATTTCTCAGTTTTT